TATATATATATATATATATATATATATATATATATATATATATATATATATATATATATATATAGGTAGATAGATATATATATCTAGGTAGATAGATAGATGGATATTAGATAGATAAAGATAAAATAAAAACCAAGTGGTTTACTTCCATATCTGATATGGAGATTGCAGAAAATTCTGATCTAGAAAACCTCAGGGACTGGTTAATGGCCAATAAACCTAGCTTGAATGTGGCTATAACAGAATTTAGGTTGATTGGCTCTCCACAAATTATAAGAAATGCTTCAAATTCTCAACCAAATATTTTAATTGAAGACAAACAAATCCAACAAGTTAATAAATCCAGAACTCTGGGAACAACAATTGATCAGCATTTATTTTGGAAGCCTACTACCGAAAATACTTGCAAAAGAATAACAAGAGGAATCTCAACTCTACGTCATGTCAAGCCATTTATTGCTGCCAAAGAGACACACTTATCTCCATATACAATGCGGTCGTACGTCCCTACTTCGATTGTTGTTTTGATGTTTAGGATGTATTTGGGGAAATACAATCTACACGACTACAAAAGTTCCAAAACAGAGCTGCTCGAATATTTCAAATATGCGCAATGATGTAGATCATTGTATTGCTTTATGTGCCTTAGGCTGCGAGCCACTTGATATCATAAGAAAAAAGGCAAAAGCAATAATTAATGATGTATACAAACCCATAAATGAGATAGGCCCCGGGTCTCTCACAAACCTCTTTATACTTATAAAAATGAGACAACAAATTATAAAATCCGAAGTATTTCAAGTGGTCTTCGTCTGCCAAAACCACGCACCAATAGCATGAAAAATAGTTTGATGTATGATGGCGCTAAGCTATGAAACTCTATTTGAAATTAAACAAGACGCCCGCTCGGCGTTAACCTCGGATCGGTGGATAGGACATCGTCTGGGCATCGCCCCCTCCCCTACCCAAACCCCCCAAGAATATTCTTACAAATCTCCTAAAAATATCACTTTTAATTACAAAATTATCACTTTCCCACCATATAGATGTTAGGTATGTTAGTATACGTAATATAGGCTTCAATTTAAGATAAAATTCAACCACAAACCTTTCGCAAAACGTTTTAAAGTGTTCTTTATAAAACGAAACATCCTTTTATAATTAAATGGCTTTATCGATAAACTTTGAGTTTGCAATAAAATGATTTAAAATTCTCACTTGCAAATAACTTTGCTTTCTTTTTTATGTATTTAAAAAATTCAATATAATAAAGCAGGGAATCAATATTAAAGATATACTGTAATTATATGCTGTCTTGTTTAGTTGTTTCATATACGCAAAGGTCGTCGCGTTTTAAATCCATTATAAATCAATATTTAAAACAAACTTACCTTCGTTAACGTCGGCTCCCTTCTTTTAGCCGATTGTTTCGCCCTTTTTTTATGTGAAAACTTTTGAAATTTACAAAATCTTCCAAAAATGCAAGCAAATTCATCAATCATCAAATCAAGAAATAAATGGAGTGGATAAATCAAGAAATGTTTGTAATTTCACTGTCGTCATGCAGCGTTATCAGTAATGCAAATTTTAAATTGGACCAATCATGAGTGTCCGCTATTTATGACAGTCCGCCATATATTTGAGATCAGTGAGGATGACCACCCACGGTTGGTCACCCACGCCCGCGATATTTGGTGAACTTTAGACTCCGCTAATGCTTTTGTTTCCCCGGGTATAAATAGCCGGGGGGATTAGTACCCTCGCACGGCGCTTCGCGCCGTCGGCTTGGGGATTAATTATTTGGGATATTTTGTGGACGAGTGAATGATATACTTTAGTAACCCTAACAGACAATATTATCAGTCTATTTGTTGATTGCACCATAGTTAATAGAATAGATGGTTTGGGAACTCATTAGAATAATAATATAACTCATTATATATGTTATGGTCAACTTTGTTCATAAATCTGGTCGTTCGCCGTCACGTGCGTATTGTATTCTTGCCCAACTAACCAATGGCAATGTCATAGGAAATCATAGGAAAAGTTACCTATCCGTGACTCGAACAATAGGGTAAATTGAAAATTGCGATTGATGGATTTGGCAAGAACACAATACACACGTGACTGTGGAACGACCATGTTTATGAATAAACGTTGACTAACATAGATAATGAGTTATGTTGTTATTCTAATGAGTTTCGAAACCATCTATTCTATTAACTATGGTTTCGCTTTGGCCGATGCTTGTTGGAAGTACACTTATTTACCAGAAGTTGTCGTCTCCTCTGCAGGCTCTTCCATCTTCGACTACTACAAAAAAATAAGAAGAAAAAATAGGAGCCGAATTTATGACCTCGGTGTCTAACCGACCCGAGGTAATCAGGGAAAGCAAATCTCTGTCATGCTTTCAAAAGAATATTGCTGCTCACATTTTCTAAATATAAATATACTATATAGTTGTACTATTTGTATAGTTCTACTAGTTCTACTATTTCTATACTGTCTATTTGTAGTACTTAATACTATTTCTACCATTTGGAAATAACTATTCATGTAACTACGTTTATACTACTGTAATTTCTTTTCTATACTTCTGTAATTTTCTTCTTACACGCCCCCTGTGGAAATCAGCTTCGGTTAAGAGGGTTACGGCGTGGGTAAATAAAGTTTTTCTATCTATCTATCTACACGCGTAGATCGAGAAGTGGCAATTGTGTTCATTGCCTTCATCGAGTTTCCGATTGCTAACACTGAGCAAACAATATATGTCAATATTGAATTAACACAATTATTTAATTAAAATACGCCTTTATATTGAATTTTACTCATGTATTTCATTACGCCAGTATTTAACCTCACGCAACTGATACAATACAATTTAGAGTACAATTATCTGGCGCGTCTGGAACAACGTTTGAGAATCAACTCGTTAATTTAATTTATCTCAAAATGGTTACACAATATTATTGTCTCCTCATTTTCATGCTGTCGAGCACAATCTTTGTCGACTTATGTTCAAGACATTGGGTAATAAGATCAAACAAACGCAAGGTCTCCTCAGCAGATCAGACAACTTCTTCGACCACTGGTTCTCCTACAACATTAGACCATGTGCCTGCTGTGATACGTAAAAAGGAGATGTTGGTTTTTCCAATTAAAGGTAAAACAAAAGTGATCTACAGGCTAGCATTTCTTTCAGATCGCTAGCCAGTAGTGCCAGAGAAAACAACTGCAGACATTGTAAGATTTAAACTAGAAGAATTTCTTTCAAAAAGAATTTATGATAAGAAAATTCCATTCACGCAAACTTATACTCCAGTTGCAGTGAGCTATATGCGCTTCTAACGATATTACACCGTTGCACCACGAGTATAAAATAAACTATTTATAATCGGTAGCATGTACACTATTCCTTACCTTAAACCGGCTACTGCAGATCTAGGCGGCAAAGATTTACTAAATTAAGTTAAAAAAATGTATCTGTTCTCGAAAACATCATGTGATAGGTTTTGGATTATTTAGTCTCTCTTGTTCAGTTCGAGGGTACGTTTCTTATATGCATGTTCTCACGGCTGTTTTCTTTCCTCACTAGAAACTAACCCTTAATCATTAATCATTAATCGTTCACTTACTAACTAACTTTCGGAAATCTGTTAAGGTTCTCCGTTCACGTCCCTCAGAATGACAACGACAGTAATTTTAAAATGCAAACAATAATAAACAAATCATTCTTTATACAGTCGGAAAAAATCATAATCTTACGCCACCTAAATATAATTTTTTTGTAGACCTATATGTTTTACAAAAGCCGAAACTCGGCATAATATAGTGAGGATCTTTTCACATCAGCCAACTTTAAGCTGCAAAATGAGAAACTAAATTTATAAAATGTCGGCTCCAAAAGCTGTTTCATATAGTTTGCCAACTATCGGTTAATTAATATTTTCAGCTGTCCGGATCATTTAGCAAACGTCAGTTTATAATTAAGCTTATTTAGACCCCCGTTAATTAAGGTTTAACGGCAAGTAGTCGAATAAAAAATCTTTCCAGATCTGGTCTTTTTGTCAAAATAACAGTGTACTTTTAAATAATTAGCCAGGAAAACTGGCAGGATGCTTCAATCACGGTTCTGAGTATCGCAGATTTTTAGCACTATAAAATCGACCCGAACACGGTCACGTACATAACTGTTCTGAACTATGCATGACTGTTATGAACTGTTCTGGCGCCTCTACTTTTGTATTATAGTATTTTATTTTGTACTGTAACATGTTGATTTGTCGAGAAGTGCATGCATGTGTTCCTATAACTGTATAGAAACAGGGAAAGTTTCCCTGTTCCTATCAATTTAAAAAACGTAAAACAAAACAATTTTAATACTCGCGCTAATGTTTCATAATGTCAGTCTCGAACCATAGAACAAAAAGAGATTTCGGTTTAAATATTAGAGGACTACTGTATATAGACTATTTTCTGGTAAAATTGACACTAACCAAATATCAATTTTACGCGAGTTCTATGTTTATGTAATAAAAATTTGTAAAGTAATCGATATAAGAATAAACTATAATATATTTTTCTTGAGTATAAAATTAAGGAATAGGAAATTATATTTTCCATGCAATTATACGTCAAACACTTTCAGTAGTCCGGAAGAACTCGAAATAACCAAAAAAACTCACCTTGTATACACGAGGTCGTTTTCCCCTTGATTATTTCTCGTTTTCCAAAACGCCCATGCATGCGTATAACTGTATAGAAACACGGATGTGTTTTTATGTTTCTTAAGTCGTTGTTAGCTTATATATGTTTTTTGACGTGCTTGAGCAGTGTCGTGCAAATACGATTGAAAATTGCCCAGACAAGAAATGCTAGACACTGGCCTCAAATGGCGTTTTCTCTAAATAATTATCCCCCACTCCCCCAAGCCAATGTTGAATGGGATTTTTCATCAAAATAATAAGAAGTTCACTGTGTATAATTGGGATATTCAACATTGAAGAGGGGGGAGTGGGGGATATGCGAATAATTCAAATTTTGGCTGTTTGTTATGATTTTTGCAAAAAGTGCATTAAGTGTCCACATGAGTTTTGGCCCTGAAGTGTAATCTCCACACAAACAACTAGCTATAGCATGAAGGAAATTCAATATTCCTTGTGAAGCTATACTAATTTACACCTTGTGATTTCTAGGATATCGTCTTGAGGAATGCTCTTACTTTGAGAAAAGTGTTGCCAGTATAATGGACTGTGCTCACCTATGTCTCCGTGAGAATGGTCAATGTCGATCAATCAATATTGAAAAGGCACGAAGTGAAGGTGGATTCATTTGTCACTTCAATAACTCTACAAGAGAAAATCATGTTCAAAAGTTTGTGAAAAACGCTGCTTACAGCTATTTGGAGCCGAAAAATGTATGTATATGTTTTGAATTTTAGCCGTTTTATATACTGTTACAAGATACACATTTAACTTAATCTCTCTTGCAATTCCAGGCTTGGGTAAATAATCACCCAGTTTCCATGGAAGACATCATCATTTTGAGAAATTAAGAAATTGGTATTCATATAACCGTGAACAAAACTGTAATGCAAACAAATCTGTAAATATTCAAACAAATCTTGAAAATCAGTCAAAAGGACATCTTCAGTAGCCTATCAAGGTAGAAATACAACGACAGCGAAGCATAGGCCACTCCGACAAGATGGCCACTCCGACTATTTGTGTGGATTGGCCATCTTGAACTTCTTGGCCACTCAATGGCTGGCGACATGTTTGTCAATTTCATGAGATGTAGTCATATACAGTACATATAGGTACTATATAGCAGACGTAAACAAAAGATATTTTAACGTAAATTTACTACTCAAAATCGAATATTGGGCGAAATGCATGTTAGATATTTAATACAAAAGTTAGACTTAAAAGTACGACAAAAATTTATCGCGCAAGTAACGCTGAATACTCGAAAAATAATACATTTGTATTATTACAAATGCCGTATAGCAATGGCATCATATTTATAAGTCATATGGGTTTATGTATGTATATAATCGTAGACTTGCCGTGTTAGTTTGATGTATGTATCCTGTATGGAATAAATATTATTATTATTGCTATATTTATATCATATAATATGCTTTGTTGATTCCATGAAATAGTTCAGTATCACTGTATCCGTGATATAACCTAAAAATAGGTACGCATAGCGTACATGTGTGTACCTCTAAAATGTCATGCAGCAGCGATTATGTTAAGCATTGTGATTATGTTAAAAGTCATTCTCAAAAACGCGCATAGTCACCAGTTTTGAATATTGCAGATGATATCTATTGAACATCAAGCACACTAGCACTTCTCATCATAAATTGTGGAGGGTATTCACGTCTTTCCAGAATAGTAATTGCGAAGTACTTGTTGAAGAATTGATTACCTTAGGAAACAGAATAGGTAATATGGGAGCCTTTTTTGATTTAACGTAACTAGTCACTAGTTTGCAAGTTGTGCTCACTGTAAAACCGCAGGCTAATTATATTTCACAAACTCCGGTTAAAATATATGGGAAAACAATGACGAAATGTCAATTCATGCATAGTTTTACGTTCAATGTACGTGATACACCTCTCTTGCCAAAAAATGCGCTAGTTATGTGTACGTTGGGTACAGTTATAACAAATTAAATTTTATTACACAATTAAATAAAATGGTAAAATAAAGTACACATTATAGACAACTTATGTACTGTACATTCTTCTTTTAAATTTTAAACGACAATTCACACATACAACACATTTTTTACAAGAGAGAGAATAGAGAAAATATGGAATAACATAAAGTTTGGTTTGGAAGGATAGAAGTAAGCTTTCAAAATTTTCCAATTTTTTACGTTTTGATGTCCCATACAAAAGTCATTTGATTGATAAGCTAGTAATTCTTTTCGATATCAGCATGTTTTTTGCATGATGTTTGACAACTTTCGTAATTTTGTCGTTCAATGTACCAAATACGATGATTGACTTTGAATGATATTATAAATCATCAATGCAAAGTTTGTTTCCATAGTTCATTATTTCGTACGAAATAAGGGACCGGTCATAAAGTATTTACTAGGGGGTGTGGAGGATTTTTTTTTTGGGGGGGAGGGGTACGAAAAAACCCAGAACCTCTGAGGGGGGTCCAAAAAAAACAACAAAACCTCTAGGGGGTACCAAAATCTTAGTACTATACAGTATAGGTATGGAAAAAATTACATTTTATAATTATTGTTGAATATTGAATGTATTTGTGCCCAAATTTAAGTTTGGAAAGAATTGTTTTACTAATGTTAGATGATAAGTACGTAGGATTCAGTATCCGTGGAAAGTTTGGAGTACAAATCTGATACATCTGAATTGTCATTGCTAGCAAACTTTCACCATTAGAAGCTGATGAGGAAGTGTCACAATGAATGGAAGCAATTTTTTTCTGTTTGAAATAAAGCCAATCTCGTACCCAGAGCTCAATGATGGCTCTGGGTACGAAATTGAAATAAACCAAAAATAATTTTTTCTGTTTTTTTCTTACTCTCAACCCATCGCTAGTATGTCAGAATCAGAAACAGAAAAGACTGGTGACGAATCGGAGACTGTGGAAAATGTTGAGTGAACTGAGATATATGGGTACCACAATAAAAAAGTCGGAGAGTTATCACAAACTGGAGAGTTTCGAAATATAGATAAACGCAAGACAAATGTTAAAACAGAATTAATGATAGAAAAGGAGGGAGGGGGGTATGAAAATTTTCACTTACATTGAAGTGGATTACGAAAATTTTTCCATAGGTTTTTGGGAGGATATGGAAATATGTACTTGAAATTTCATTTATCCTCCACCCCCCTCTAGTAATTACTTTATGACCGGTCCCTATCTTAATTTATTCTTAATAAGCATCGGCAGGCACAATGTAATGAACTCTTTAAACGATACCATGGATTTAGTAAGAATGCATAACTAGGTTCACTGACAATATCTTGTCACCGTTAATAAGTCGGAAATAATAGTGTGAGATTTTAAATCCAGTAAGAATACACAGTGTGTTTGCAAGGTGTATTACCAATATCTTATCACTGTTAATAAGTCGGAGATAATAGTCCAGGATCATAGATCCAGTGGGAATACACAGCTCGTTTCCAAGATTCGTTGACAATGTCTTATCACCGTTATAGTCTGTCCGACAATCAGTTAACAATGAATACCATCATTCACCACTGATATAAACGCGTATTGACAAATAATAGTTACCAGAATCAAGAGTCACATATGGCAGACTATTTTCACTCAAATATAATGCGCCTGAAAAGGAATCACTGTATTGCAAATTAAAGGTATGATCGTCTATGTCTACAAACTCGGGGACATTATAGTTAATAATAAATAACTCTTATTTATACTTTGGCTAATAATTTCATACAAACTGTTACCACATATTTAACAGATTTAATTGTTGCCAGATTTAACTTTTTTGTAAATAATTGCATGCAATGACATGGCTACACACTGTTTACCGGCACCAATACGTTTGGTATTTAATTTAAATCATTATATACCTTGACTATTGGCCGTACAGGCAGGATCAACTATATCAAAATAATGCAAGTAAAAATTTTCAAAATTTAGAGATAGAGAACGAGAATAACATAAATTTTCAACGATCACTAAAAGGATTTAGTATTGAACATACAAGTATTGCTTCACTCGTCAAGCACATTGATGAATTGAAAACATATCTTAAAAAAGAACCATTCGATATCCTTAGTATTGACGAAAGTAGACTCGATGAAACGATAAGTACTGATGTTGTCAGCATGCATATCAGGACACGAAATGATTGTTAAAAATCGTAATCGTGTTGGTGGCGTTGTTCCAATTCACTATCGCAGTGTTTTATTGAATGTTATTAATAGGCAAGATTTAATTCCAGCGAATGTTGAAGCTGTTTGTCTCGAAGTCACTAGGCCAAAATCCAAACCCATTTTAATTAAATTTCATCTGTTCATAGACCACCAAATTCGCGAATCGAACTCTTAATCGAAATAGAAACACTATTTCAAAATCTTGATAGTGAACATAAAGAACAAATTATTGTAGGTGATTTCAATTGCGACCTTTTACGTGATATTTTAAATAATCACACAGAAAGATTTAATGAGATAGCGAATTTATTCCAACTAACACAGATGATTGATCATCCTAAGCGAATTACAGATAGTACATCGTCTCTTTTGGATGTTGCACTTGTAACTAATCCCGTAAACATTTCACAATCTGGGATTTTACATGTAGAAATTAGTGACCATAGTTTAATTTATGCTTGCAGAATACTTTCCTTTAGCTATAGTAAAAACCAATCCAAAGTGATCGATCAAGGGATTTTAAGAATTATGTGAAAAGAAAATTCAATAATGATCTGGATATCGCTTTGTCAAATATAGATTGGATTTTGACGACCCAAATAGGCTCTCATGGGAGAACTTTAAAACAACATATATTTGTGTTACTAATGTTCATGCACCTACTAAAAGCCGTTGAGTGAGAAAAAAAAGCTCCATGGCTCACAGACGAGATTACGAAAAACATAAACCGGAGAGATTTCCTTAAGAAAAAAGCTATTCAATCAAATATACAAGTGCATACCACAATGCTTACAAAAGTTTACGAAATAAGATTAATAAACCAATAATACATGCAAAGCGACTTTATTATACGGACTGCATTGATAGAAATAAGAATAATACAAAACAAATGTGGAAAATTTTAATCTGTCACTATACTTGATTAATAAAAAATCTAATTAAATCCACAAACATTTCAGCATTGCAAATAGACGATCAAGTATTAATCATTGAAAGTTCGGGCATGTCAAATCTATTTAATGAATATTTTACCGACATTGGACCAACTTTATCAAGCCAATTTCCGGAAACTAATGTCAGTTTTGAAATGTAACATGAAATTTAATTTCGTGCTCAAAAGGAGTTTCACTTCTCAGACATACATATTCAGGAAGTTCTTAATGAAATTAGTAAATTAAATACATCTAAGTCGGTGGGGCCTGACAATATTCCAGCCAAACTTGTGAAGGACTCGAAAGACGTTGTGGCCCCTTTTTTAACATTAGTTTTTAATGCCTTCGTAAGTAATAGAATTTTGCCTGATGATTTTAAAGTAGCCAGAGTAAGTCCAATTCATCAAACTAGAAACAAAGAAGAACGAGGTAATTATCGACCTATTTCTATACTCGTGATAATTGCAAAACTGTTTGAGAAGCTTGCTTGTTCGCAACTCAATATATTTTTAACCAAAAATAATATTCTGAGTGCATGTCAGTCCGGTTTTCGAAAAGGCCACTCAACGGCTCTTTCAGAAAATACTGATTCATGGCTACTGAATATGGATGCTGGGTTGATAAACGGTGTCCTTTTCCTTGATCTATGCAAGGCATTTGACACTGTTGATCATAAAATTCTTATTAAAAAGTTTACTTATTTATTTATGGAATTCGAAACAAATCCCTAGACTGGTTTAAATCGTATTTGCACAATAGAAAGAAATTCTGCGTGGTCAATAATGCAACATCACACACACAGAAAGTAAGTTGTGGGGTTCTACAAGGATCAAATCTTGGTCCTCTTCTATTTTTGTTATATGTGGACGATCTCCTAAACTGTATGGAGAACTCACATGCATGCAGCAATGTACGCTGATGATACAAATATTACAGTGCGTTCATCTAGTTTAATTCAGGTGGAAGAGGTCTTAAATAGTGAATTGGATAATATTTATCACTGGCTTCTAATTCAAACAAATTAACCTTAAATGTAGAAAAAACAGAATATATGATCATTGGAACACGTGAAAGGTTGAATGATCTTTCTCAACACATTAATGTTTCTATGGATGGGAATAAAGTATTAGAAGAGGTTAAAACCAAAAAGACCTCAGGCGTATTGGTTGACGAACATCTGTGCTGGGAAAAGCTTCAAAGGACATTGGCATGTTGCGTCGTGTAAAGCCCTATGTTAAACTCTTAAACATGTTTATCAAGCTTTAGTTCAACCACACTTTGATTGCTGCTCAATGGTTTAGGGTAACTGTGATGAATATTTAAGAGACAAGCTTCAGAAGCATCAAAACCGAGCTGCAAGAGTTATTACTGGCGACCCAAATGCATCGATTGATATTTTAAAGAAACTAGAATGGCATGACCAGAAATCACGAACATAATTTATTCTACTTCCTTACTAATTGCATATCACTTTGAAATATGGCTACAACAGTATACAGTAGATTCTACAACGCGATTTTGTAAACGCAATATTGGAGAGTATATGGTAGGTCCTCTGCAATTTTCCGCAATCGCTGGTTGCCAAACAAAGCCTGTCGAATAATTTAGTATAATACAGTGAGTATTAGCCTGATTTAAGCTACAATTATTCCTGCTTTTTCTATATTTGTACACAGGTTAATATTTAACTACATTTTTCTATTCTAGTTAATTTTTAACCACATTTTTTATGTAAAAATACCGCACTAGGAATAAACTAAAAAGCAGGAAAAACAGCAACTTAATCTAGGCCAAAATTACACTAGATAAATCGACAAACTTTGATTTAGCACCAATATTATTAGATTTTTCGATTTACCTCATCGCGTTGTACAATCTACTGTTTACAGTTAAGGCTATATTTCAAAGTGATATGTAAATTTTTATTGAGTTAGAATAAATTATGTCCGGGATTTCTGGCCATTAAAACGTTAAGTGAAAGACAGAAGGAGCAACAACAACTTTCACATAAGAGAATACTTCTTGGTCCACAAAACTATAAATTAAGCAGTTTTATTATTATTTAAGAACTACATATTAATGAAGCATACCATGTATTCTGTACGAGAAAAATATAGAATTGTCGAGAGGTAATGTGTTAATATTCGATGTGCAAAATTTCGAATGTTGACCAGCAACTGTTACACACAGTATATGTGCATGTTTGGTGAGAAAAGGCATTACATGGCAATGCTGTCTTGCTGATGTTCATCACTAAATGTTCAGATTAATATGAAACTAGTTTTCCTATCTCTGAGGATGGTTCTGAAATAGAATTGAAACACTGCGCGTCCTCAAAAGACAAGCGTTAAGTCGTCACGAAAATATTTCGTGCACTTAAATTGGATAAGACTCGCTACCAATCCCTGTTGACTCGATAGCTCAATAGGTAGAGCGGCGGTCTAGATACCCGAAGATGCGAGTTCAAATCCCGCTCGAGCCAACGAATTTTTCGTTGCTCGATTGCAGTGTCAGATTAATATGAAACTAGTTTTCCTATCTCTGAGGATGGTTCTGAAATAGAAATGTTGAGCGAGGGGTTTTTGTAATGTATATGAACATTTCGAGTGTATTAATATTATGTATTTTTTGACACGATAACCAGGAGCAGCTGCAAAAGATGCAACTATATTTTTTAGGTTTATACTTAGTTATATAGGTCTAAATATGTATAAAATTCACACTTGAAATATTCGTCTTGTGACACTACCTTCGAAATTTAGTTTTGTTGAGTGTGATGTCCAAAATCCTGATATTTACCCTTACACCTTAGTGCAGACTTCATCTTATTTACATGAATTTGCAATTATAGCTCGACAACTGGACTTTGTAGCTGATCGATCATTTGGTTAGAGCACTGAACCGGAATTACATGTCAGCATGTTTATTCCTGTCGGAGGGTCTACATACAATTCTGCTAGAAATGCTTTCATTAAACTGTTATAAGTTGCATTGCACCTTAATGCACCCTACTTTATAATTGATTTGTAAAACACGAGACAATTTTACTTGTCGAGGGGACAGCACTGGTGCTCAAAGAGTTAATCAGTTGTATAAAGGCAGAAACTACCTTCCTGCATGGGTAAGCTAGCTTCCAGTACGCCAGTAGCTTATACAAAATTTGGTGCATAAACACAAATCATACATACCCTGTAGTTTCAAGTCTGTTTATAAAACGAGACCTCGGGTCTCTGGAGAGATAGTAATTCATAGCACTTTACCCAATGATGATGATTTTAGTATATATCATACAAATTTGTCAATATCAAAGCTTTCTTGTTTGCAACTAAATATTTGTAAACACAGCTAGCGTATTAATTAAAATTATGACAATAATGGAAAATTTTACACCTTACAATATGTGATTTGGACAGTAGAAAGCCGAAAGCTTGTTTTCGTAACAAATGGAGTGTATTTGATGGTTAGGCTTACCAATTCCACGTCAAATAAGATAAAGTGCAAATAAAATTAAATATTTAATATAAATAAACGTCTCCTCCGATTCAAGTAACGTCTTTAATAATACTCTTGTCCCACATTTCTCGAGGTTTTGTTTGGCTTTCACGAGCGAGAATAATACGTACGATCTGCATATCTTTGACCAAATTGTCAAAGATAGAAACTGATATATCTCAAAATTTAAACAAAATAGTTTAAACAACGAGAACTATTATCTGCAAACACAAAATCTTTTTCAAAAACCAGGGGGTGTGAAGACTCTCGTGGGCTCAGAATTGAGTCTGGTCAGTGCTATAGCTAGCTACCAGGAGGTTTTCGGACCAGTTGTCATGGAAATGGTGTCATATGGCGTCAAAATCCGCCATGATATTGGCGACACTTTTTTGACTGACGAGGGATAGGAGCAGGTCCTCCAGTTATTATACAGCTCAGTGTGGTTAACCGATTTAAAGCGCCAGCGCTTTCCTCTTGACGAGTAAAATCGTCTGGCGATAGACAGAGTAAAATAATCTGGCGTTAGACAGAGTAGCATAATAAAGTAGGGCGCAATTCGACTCAATGAGTTCATTTCACAATTTGCTTCTCAATGCCCTTTAGAGAGACCTTGTAAGGAACAATTGCCACTTGTGATATACAGTACAACTGTTGTTAATGGGCATTCAGGCCAATTGTGGAAGTGGTCATTGAGTACTTACAGTTTGTGCAGTTTTACTGTACATACTGTAGTTTTACTGTAAATATATTGTGTGCCTGGTATGGTCAATCATTTTTAGTATGTAAATTATTTTAAAAAAATAATGAATATTTACCCCTGTCAGGTGATGTGTAATACAATTATTGCAGTAAGGCTTAATTAATACATTGTTGCATTACTCTGCGTTCTTTTCAAATTCTTTACCGAAAGTCCTGAAAACACAAAAGTTTGCCGATTTTTCATCAAATAAGTTGAGATAAAATGACAAATTGTTTCTGAAATTTACTTCTTCGAAAAGACCACTTTCTTTAGTTCGCTAGAGGCATAGAAAAGCTCGACTTCGGAACAGTTGGCTGAAAAATTATGAAGCTTTCACATAAAATGATAACCATTTTTCATATGGAATTTACTAAATTTCCGCATAGGGGGCTGAATCATACCTAAAAGACGAGTTTCAATTTCCGCCATTTTAGCTTCAATTCGGCTTGGCTTTGGAGTTATCGTTCCAGTATATGTAGAGTTCACTGTTTACACTACGTTTCGCCATGTTTGTATGATTGTTGAATAAATTACTATATAATTTTACACCTTGAATAAATTATTACATGATCATATATCATTGTATAAATTATGACACAATTAGCATATTCAACTTCGTATTGTGTTTTTGTAAAATGGACTTGGGATTTCTAAAATGGACTTAGAATTGTAAAATGAACTTGATATTTGTAAAATGGACTTGATATATTGGTAAAATTGACTTGATCTGATGTTGGAGAAATTGGACTTGATGTTGGACTTGAAATTTCACTGTTCGTAATATTTTGTTGGCTTTGGGCAAGTATACAATAACAAATAACAGATAACGTACTTATTAATTGGGTGGAGCTCTCTAAAACACTGAGTCGAACAAAGATTTCTTAAAATAATTAATGAAAATATTCTATATATGAAAAATTAATGTTACCTTATATATGTATTAAAGCACATTCATTCCAATTATATTTTCGCAACAGAACATGATAAAGTTAACTACAGTAATAACAAAATACTACTAAAATACGAAAAACCCCAATAATATTAAACTTCTGTACCTGAAAGGTATATCCCCGTAGGACTCAATTAAAGATCAAACTTTTCTTTATTCTCTGTAACGACATGTAGGCTACTCTCGCGTGTCTCTCTTGCCTGTCTCTGATGCAACTAATTTATACAACTAGCGCCTGTATAATGTCAGCGTGTCACTGTTAAAATTTTTCTATTTACCATAATGAAAATTATTAACTGGGGATATTAATAATCTCAGCATACTGAAGCAAAGATCGGCAAATTTCTCCGCGTGCTTCGTATGTACTGCATCAGTCGAGGTAATTTGCCAGGTCATTTTACCATTAACAGTGTGGATAAAATGACAAAATGTATAAACCAAACCATGACCAAGAGAATTAATAAAACATTCGTCTAGTATATACGTCTCCGGCTGATGATTGCCGAAATTGAAACGTCCAAGACTTGATATCACATTGCAGCCGCCTTTCACAAATAAATCATCACTGACCCACAGATCGAGTAGTTCTCTTGGTTCTAGTAGTCCAGTCACAACCGTCGCTTCGGATACATATGCTTCTTTCTTAACAAAATCCTTTATTTGCTGCGTAGTTTCTTGGGCTAATTTCCAGAAGTCAGCAGTATCGACAGTCAGATACTCCGTGTAAATATTTTCACACGTATACACAAAATATCCAAGGTATTCTTTGTGCGGTTTCGGATCACAGAAGCGTTGTGCATCGATCGCAAACGGCGTTCCTAACTCCATTGCAGAATTTGATTGATCCGGACCTATAACCTCACAAAAAGCTAAATGCGCTGCAGCTGCGATAGCACCTGTTACTGTGCAAACATTCGATTTGCAGGCCTGTATAATATCCTTCGTTTCTTTCTCAGTAAAAACCTTTACACTCAGTCGACATGGTACGACAGTAGACACTTCTAATTTTCGTGAAAACTTTGCATGATACGGATTATTCGGCATCTTTTGTACAAGACGATTCAACATTTTTACTGTACAAAATTTCATGATCGGTCGTAGGCCACAGTAAGCCAGTACAAAATTAAACAATGAATGCCAAATGCGTCCCCGTGTGACAATCTCGTGGTAATATGGCAGGAGATCTAAACTGCAGATTTGTTCGTCAGCAGAGCTAGTACCGATTGCAAGTTCATTCATATAATTAAGAAATTGCTCGCAAAACTTCACAGAGGACACGCCGTCAATACAGGCATGGTTGAAGTTAAACATTAAGGTATTTACATAATCTTTAGTGTCCTGCATGAATTCCTTTTGTAATATTACGACTCGCCATAACAGACCATTTCCTCTCGGTTTTGCTGTATATTCAAACCAGACACTTTGCCAGTCCGAACCCTTTACATCGGAAGTAGTAATGTCAAACATTTTCATCACTTCGTTGATTTCCTTGATTTCGAAATATCTATCTCCGTTCGCCATAGTTGCTATCACTGCTCGAAGCATCGGCTGTCGTTTGGATAATAGCACCAGAGCGTCATAGACAAGCTGGTGCATCAGGCTCTGCTTTGATGTTATTGATATCGATGCACATATATTCGTTGTACCAGATTTTTCATTTGAAGTAATATCCAGCAATTCTTCAAGATGACCAAGTCGACGTCGGTTTGAACCTGCTGAGTTTGGTGACAATACGTCGCCAGTGAGGTATCTCATAATCTTTGAAAGCGTGTATAAAACCAATACACAAATTACAGTGAGAAATGCCTGTATCCAGAATCCACTTAACATATTGAATGACACCAGACAGCCAAAATAAAGCTACTGTACGTACCAGATAGAAGTTTTATTAATTGTACAAGTCTACCTTTTAAGTAGGCAAGTTGCAGTTTATAATTACAACATCTGGAATTTTAATTAAATTGCATGCCTATATTGTATCAACAAATTACGATTCTGATGCGTGGGCGGGATGTTTATAGTTGCTGAACTAGCATGCATGCAGAAACCCTTGCCTTGTTGGCAAAACCATTATGTTTTCCAAACATGAAGTACTGCCATGGTAACACGATAATTTTAAGAATAGTTTTAAAATTGAAAAATCACCCCAAAATATCACTTTTAATTACAAAATGATCAATTTCCCAAACATATATATGATATAGGTATGTTATTATATATACGTAATATATGCTTCAATTTAATGTAAAATTCAACCACAAACGCTTCCCAAAACGTTTTAAAATGTTCTTAAAACTGAATTGCCTTTTGTCGGTAAACATTGACTTTGAAAATTGAAATAAAATGGTTTCAAATTCTTGCATGAAATATAAATAATTTTGCTTTCCTCCTTATTTAAATATTTTAATATACAAAAAATTAAGAGGAATATTAATAAAAATACACTGTAATAATTCGAAATTATTTTCGCTTTACTATACGCAACGGATCGTATCAGTTTAGTAAAGCAATTAGTATATAGGTAATAGCATGGTTTCGAGTGCAATTTGGATATAACATGCACGAGTGAGTTTTTCAAAGTCCTCAAAATAGCACGAGTCCGAAGGACGAGTGCTATTTGATGTCTTTGAAAAACTCACGAGTGCATGTTTATCCAAATTTCACGAGAAACCATGCTATTACTTATTAATAATTTACATAAAAATGTTCGAGACAATTGTAGCCTGCGAACAGGCTCTCAAGCTGAATTGAGAGCCTGCATCGATGACTAATGAATTTGAATATCTGCGTCTCAAATCGTGACGCGAAATTCTCATTGGTCAGATGCTATAATTTATATGTTTCCGCTAAGCTCTATATATGTCAACTGCTGAAGCATTATGCATAAAAAACACATTAACTGATCAAATTGGTCTTGGCCGTCTTATCTCAAAGCACGAAATGTTTTGTTTTGAGAAAACAGTATTTAAAACATTTGAACTTTTGCTTGAATATTTTATATTTCGAAAAACAGTATAAACTGTACAGTCTAAATTTAGTTTGCACGGTCTAAATTTAGTTTGCACGAAAGTTGTAAACAACACCATATAAGGATAGACATTCCATATTTGGAAAAACGAACGTTACGGGGCAGATATTCAAATTCATTAGTCATCGATGCAGGCTCTCAATTCAGCTTGAGAGCCTGTTCGCAGGCTAAGACAATTGTAGTTTTAACTTACGCGTTTATAGCGAACATTCCACTGGCAAAGATTTCTTGGCCTTGTTATATTACATTATACAACGCTAACAGCAAGAAAATTCCACTCAACTATATATGTCATTTTTGTTAGTCTTGTTTAAGGTAAATGCTTTTCAATTTAAAAATAAAGATAAAAGCCGTATATTTTCCACGGGAAGGCAACCTTTACTTTGTGTAGCGCGGCGCCATGTTTGTTTTGTTTCGAAGCAATCTGTGAACGTTACTTCTTTAAACTAAATTGCTTTAATTTAAACTGATTGGTTGATTTAATCATCACAATGTTTTTTTCACCAATCAGATCAGTTTGTTACAGATTTTTGCACTGTGATTACATAAAATTGCACTGTGATTACAAAAATTGCACTGTGATTACAGAAAATTGCACTGTGATTACATAAAATTGCACTGCATTTTGGGATTAACTGCACTGAAATCAACCAATCACAGTCGAGTAATATCTTTATGTATATTATTATAAGGCAAACAATACGGCAATGCTAAAAACAAACTTACCTACATTAACTTGGGCGACTTTGCTCCATTCTTTTAGACGTTTTCAGACGGCTTTCGAAAAGGTTTTGAAAATTGCAAAATCTTGCAAAAATACAATATAGTTGGAAGAAATGTTTGTTATCTCGCTATTGTCATTTGTCATACAACAACAAATTCTAAATTTGACCAATCAGTGTTCGCTCTTCATAATAGTCCGCCACATATTTTGAGATCAGTGAGGATGACCACCCACGTTGTGTGTCACTCACGCCCGCGATCATTGATGAATTTTAGACTTCGCTAATGCTTTCGTTTCCCCAGGCCCGGAACGACCCTCCACGTCGTTGGCTCGGGGATACATTATAAAAATATATTATAGTAATGGTTTTGGGGTGTGACATTATATTGATTCATGAGACATAAATCATTTTGGCAAATTGCTAGATATCAATGTAAGTTTAATCCCTGGAAATCTGGATTGACCCATTGCCTTGGCCTTGCTTTGTTTATGTTTGGCAATAATGATGAAATGGTTTCATCTGCTAACAGACAAGTCAAGAACTGAACAAGTTTTTGATAATGCCAAGTTTGTTCTATTTAAGGAAGTGATTTTCAGTATGATTGAAGAATAAAAATCGTAACAATGTCGTAACATAAATATGTTTTATTCTTGCTTTGTTTATGCATTTTACAGACAAAACTAAAATCGCAACTTTATTCAACTACAATCAGGAGCAAAAATTATTGAGACAACCGCATAAATGCCCCCTCACCCACAATTACATGTTGTGTGAATGCCTAAAAAGAGAAAATTCAACCCACTTTTTCCAACATTGATCATAGGGGCAGGGGGGGGAGGCCGACGTACTTTAAAATGGCCAAAAATGTGAAAAGTTTCATTATTTGTGCACGCGATTGTCTGAGATGGAGCTGTCTGGGGTTTGCTGTCTAAAATTTGAAATTTTGCCAGACTCTAGCGATCAAGTTGACATGAAATTGACATATTTCAATCAATTAACCGAAAGTTTTTTGTCCACCAAAATGTAGAAATTATGCAAGGAGGCTGCGCCGGGGACTGGGCCTGAATAAAGAAGCTTTTCTAACGAATTTAATTTTTTTATTATCATTTACTTACTAGAGAAAATCTTTGGGAAAATAGACAAGCTGTAGGTTATATACGATCTATACTTAAAATACTTTGCGTTATAGTAAAACACATCCAATAAGCCGTAAAAATCTAATGTAGTGTTTTAACTACTCTTACGTTCTTTCAAGCTCAATTAGCCATCATTTTCTGAGGAGGGGTCATTATATGAGTAATATGACAGTTCCTCAGCTTAGCCATATGACGAAAAATTAGAAAACTTTGTCATTTATACTGCTGTATGTACTGTGGTGCTTGTGGGATGTTCAACAATTAATCCAAAGTAATTAGTTCATGTAAATTTTATGCACTTGGCTTCATTAAATTAAGAAAACGCTGACACGTTACACACACGTTACACCTACTTTACATAATAATCTATAGTAAAATATATAGAAATATGACCAGGGCCGTAGCTAGATCAATAATTTGGGGGGGGGGGTATATTCATATATTCGCGTTCTGTCCGACGGATTTCTTTTGAAAGCGATTGTTTTTACGGTATGTGAACATGAATATATGAATATACACACCCCCTCCAATTATCGCTTCTAGCCAGGGCCCTGAATATGACACGTTACACACGTCACACCCATTGTTTTTAAAAATAAATATATATATATATATATTTATTTTTAAAAACAATGGGTGTAACGTGTGTAACGAGTCATATCTCTATATGTTTTACTACAGACTATTATGTAACGTGTGGTGGAACGTGTGATGTAACGTGTCTAGTCAGTACGTAAAAACGGATTGATGTTTTGCGCATGTGCGACCAGATTTGCTTCAGCTCATCTCACATAATCCCAAAATCATAGGAGATGGAAGTTTGCAATAAATTCTGGTGCAAATTTACGATATGGCAAGTCCGTATATCAACATAAATAAAAAGCTTGAATTGTGTTTAAAATCTAGCGAGTATGTCAATCTTATGTAACAATTCAGCTAAAAGTAGGAAAATCATTGAAATTTTTCCAGAAAGATACGTTGTCTGTTATAAAATCTTTAATGCACATTTTCATTGTTTTGAACAGGTTATTATTTTCAAGAATCGACATGCGCAAGTTAATGCAACTTCATTATTTAATTGTCAGGAGGTTATTATTTTTAATAATGACCTCCAATATTTAAAATAATGACCCCGATCTTTCGCTTGAATAAAAAATAAACCATTGTGCGTTACACAACTTTGCTTTAAAGCAAATTTTAATTACACTACAAAAATTTCCATTTTAATTTAACTATACAACGTATAAAGTTTTAAAAAACTAGGGTGTGACGAATTTAAATCCGCCTGTGTGGGTGTCGGCAATATAACTTCATATACAACAAGTTTAAATATATTTTTCTATAATTTGTTTGATATATCACAGTGTAAATCCTATACTATTGTTTTAAATTAACTGTCTCTCAAGCTACGATACTTGCGTCCTTTGGCGAGTTGTTCCTTCCCGTTGTTTCTTCAGCTATAGTCTATATCCCGATTTTCAGAGCGCTCGTTAAGTTTACCAGGGTTTTGATAACGGTCCCCGCTTTCAATTCCACTACACCGATCTCCAAATAACTTCGTCTTCACACGTTTACAGCTGAGTGTGTTGCTCAAGTCACTAAAAACTATACCAGAGCGTTTGATCATTGAAGACCCACGTAGTGTATTGCTCAAGTCACTGAAGACTATACCAGAGCATTTGATCATTGAAGATCCACCTTTCCCATATAATGTAAAGTACGACGTTAATAACGTATATTTCTTTCGTTTTACTTTCTCAAGTTATTTCATCAGTGTGTAGACCACTCCTTAATCGGTTCTACTTTAACACGAGTTCGTTCGTTCTGCTTCAGTGTCTCTCTGATTATCGCCTTTTATTCTCTCGCAGCTTGATTACATATTCTATACGCATATGATTTATTATTCTAATGGCTCCCAGGGCTACATAGGGCTTATTAACTATTGTAATGTTGCAATTGCCGCCACTAATATTTAGAACAAACGACCCCATTCCATCATCACCCTTCTCTATTGGCGCGCTACTTTCCGCCGTTGCACCCTTCTCTGACGCGATACCTTGCACGATTTTCGAGACATTTGCATGCTGCTCCTCGCTTATAACAATCGAGAGCCTCGGAACGATGCCCAGTAACCCCCTTTATCAGCTTATCATCAACGCCTTCACGAAATAACCTCGACACGGCTGTGGCCCGCAATGAATGATTAGTAAAGTGCCCATTTACACCCGCTTTTTCCATTATACACTTAACCATACCTTGTAACTTATTGTGGCCTATTGGGACACTGGAAAACCATATTTGCTTCCTTTCATAGTTTTGCAAGGGTTTCAAACAAAACGCTTTTCTCAAACCCTCTTTAGGGCATCTCGAAATGTAGTGCTTAACAATATTTACAATGCATTTATCCGCACATTCAACATTGGCATATGCCTTGCCCGTTCGTGGAGCTACTTTTCTATGTTTTAACCCTCCTTGAAACGTTTTAGATACACCCTCGCTGTAAAGCAAATATTCCTTTCCTCTGTTATCACTGTGAAATGAAAAACTACTCATGCTCAAAAGCCTATGTTCAGAACCTGCCCGCAAGCCAAAATTAAGACCAATTAAGTAAAACACTGTCCGTAGTAAGGATTCCGGATCGTTAATGGCCAAAAAACCCTGCTCCCAAAGGCCACGTTCGACCTCAACAGGGATTACTTCAGCTTGCTTTGGCCTTATACCCACATTATTTTGAGCCGAACATTTCATTTCAACATGTAACGAATTTCTGACTTTTTCAAATTCTAAGCTCGAAAAAAAGTTAACACTTCGCCCTTTTAACTCTAAGTATTTTCGCAAACTACTGATTATTTCATACAGTGTTTTTCCAGCATACCTTTCTCCACCGTCTTTTCTTACTTCTGCGATGAACTGATGTAATACTTCGTTGAGGTCAACTTCTGGCATCATATGTATTTCTGACTTGTAAACCAAGAGAATTTTATCAACCAAACGCATTTCCCTTCCATCTTGAGAGATCTCCTGGCGCCATTGTGACCAAGCGTCGAACATTCTGTATGCCCACATCGCTTTCCTCTTAGTATTTTCTGGGATGCTTCGCGAAGCCAACTCTATCATACTTTTACTGCTGCAAATCTCAAACCGGTCAGACGTATTCTGTTGCTCTATTGCAAAATATAAATAAATTCAAATATTAATCGCTATGATTAATGCTTGTTACTAACTTTTAAACAAAACTTAGCTAAGACAATTTTCACCTTTTCTATCATATCCAACGTGCTTTTCCCAGGTGCATTACATCGCCGCTCACTGACACTGTCTATCTGATTTGGTCTTTCCAGTGAAATTCTCCGCTCTGCAAACAAATCCAATGACTGGGAAAGTATTCCATCCAGCCCATCGTCTTCCAAATCTAGACAGTCGCAATCCCAATCATTGGTCTTTTCAACTTCAAATTCATCGTCATATCCTTCTCCAAACAAACTAAAATCTCGCTTTCTCGAACCAGACATCCTCACTCCACAAATATCAATCAAGTAACAAAAAGGTAAGCTGTTGAAAAAACACAGCCCAGGAATGCGCATACAAAACACAAATATGGTGTGAAAAATAATAGTACTACAACAATGAACTTGTAACTATCTTAATAGTTTTCTTTGGTCATAAACACCATAATGTGCATTAAGTCGGATAATACCCTCGCTCTCGGTATTATTAAAAATAATGACCTCGCGCTACGCGCTCGGTCATTATTTTTAATAATACCTTGAGCTTGGGCATTATCTTATACTGAACTTAAAGGAAATATTCTGTTTGAGAGAAAAATATACTCATGATTGTCAGCCATGGGAAAAAGTGTCTGAAATTTATTCATTATTTCATAATCTTCTTCCAATGTATATATTCATCAATTAATCGTCCTTTCATAACAAAAAATAACTATAGTTCTCAAAATCCCCAATATTCTTTTTACATGAAGTACTCAGTTATAGAAACCCGCTTAGAATTTGTCATGCACGGCAAAAAACGCCGAGCCCGCTGCTCAACAGGATTGAACAATGTTTTGCTGCCCACGTTGTTCACACTTGTCAACAATGTTGAACAATGTTGTTGAGCCTGAATCGGGTGTAACAATATTGTTCAATATTGTTGACAGCTATGCAGCAAAACATTGTTCAATCCTGTTTTCATCAGTATTGCATCAACCTGAGCGTTTTTACGCGTAGTGTAGCAAAGGTTCATTGAGCAAGAAATCCAAGTCAGCATCTTCCATGGAACAATAAGTTGAATCAATTACGTTTCATTCAAAATACAAATAGAGACAATCAGGAGCAAAAATTATTGAGACAACCGCATAAATGCCCCCACACCCCCAATTCAATATTGTGTGAATGCCTAAAAAGAGAAAATTCAACCCACTATTCGAAGTGCAATCATGCGTAACATTGGCTATAAAACAAGGGGATCTCATAGTTCAGGGGCAGTTTGTTAAACGCTCTGCCCATGCAGTAAGGGGCCGATTACATGGAGCATTTTCAACCCCGGGGATGAACTCAGCCCTGTTTACCGGGTTGAAATTTCAGCCCTGTCTGTAATACAAAACTCTATCAAAATCAAACGCGCGATTACATGACAAAATTTTCAACCCAGGGTTGAGTTCAACCCCGCGGTTGAAATTTCAACCCTACTTCAGCTAGCAGACTCAGCCCTGGGTTGAAAACTTTGTCATGTAATCGTTTCAACCCAGGGCTGAAATTATCATGAGTTATTCGAGCATACGTGGTAATGACTATTTATTACAAGAAAACAAAATAAAGGCTTTTTACTTCCGGGAATCGATGCCGAGAACGTATAGTATAGCGTTTCAACCCCGGGGTTGAAATCGTCCATGTAATCGCAAAAAATTTCAACCCGGTTAACAGGGCTGAGTTCAACCCCGTGGTTGAAAATTCTCCATGTAATCGGCCCCTAAGTAGGTCAGTCATGGCTCTATTGTGAAGCACAAGTCTAAAGATGCTCCACAGTGATCAAGTTGGAAATCCAGTCGTCTAGGACGCGACGAAGTCGCCGAAAACAACGTCAAGCAGAGGCCGTGAGCCGCGAAACAAAGCGAAGCCGAAGAAGTATTTGGTAATGTATTTGTTCAATGCCCAATTCAGTAATTCGCAATCTTGTTGTTCGTCGGTTGGTGCCGAACAATTTGGTACTTTTTGTACTGGCTTCGTAAAGTCCGTATACGTATTCCGTTCGGAACGAATATGTTGAATATAACTTCGACTGGAATGAGTTGTCCTGCTCATGGGAAAGTATTAGCTGAGCTACGATATGAGCAAGTCATTGTAACGCGACGTTTCGCTTCATTCGTTCCTGATAATAACCTGGCTCGGAGGTTACATGCGTATAACCTTGTTGGTATTAAACAGTTGTGATTTTCTATGGCGATTTCAGCACACATGTTACATCAGAGTGATCAGCCTGGTTGAAGCCAGACTCCAAGTTATCATACAAATATATTAGTTTGGACCACTGAGCTATAAATATATGGAGAGCGCAACTATAGATACAGAAATTGAAGCCGGAACGGTCGCGCGCGGCCGCCATCTTACTGTGACCACCTTGAGGAGTGAGCTATTGTGATTAATACGGTATTTTCAACTGTTTTGTTCTGTTATCTCGCAATAGAGGAACAAATCAAGTCAAATATGGTATTTTAACCAAAAGCACATGTTCAAGAATGTTGGGGACCTCTTTTACATTCAAATGAACTCAATCGTAAAGAAACGTGTCTATATTTTTGACGACGTTTCTGAGTGCAACTGAGATGAATCATGAATACAGTCGTGACAACACCTTTCAAATGGGAATTTCTGATAGAGATCGGTGAATTATACCATAAGTTAACACATGAGAAATTGGTCATGAACTTTATTGTTTTGGAAATGGTGAATTTTATATGGACAAGACTCATATTTGTTTCTATCAACCTAATCAACGCAAACAAATTATGTCGCTTGTGGGATTTGTTAAAGGAACAAATAATTCAGGATGGTAGAAAGAATAGCAGGTGCGTTGTAGTGATCTTATTTATGTTAATGGTGGGTGCTTAAACGCAATGCCTTGTGAGAATATATACCATACCATCCCTGCTTGTGTAATATGTTCCTTAATATTAAAGTCATAGTCATGATTAATTATCACTCTTCTGAGAAGACCTCAATGGTGTTTTATTCCAAAGAAGCAGATTAAAATTAATAAATTTGAAAGAAATTGAAAGTTGTAAAATAATGGTATCTCATTTCTGTGCTTTTTAGATCCTATAGAGACAGTATAAAGTGAAGATGGAACAATGCTGCAAACAGTTGCTTTCAGTTGCATGTTTAGATATGCATTATATTGCATTGTGTAAAAACAATTTAATTGTAAAGGGTCTCTAGTATTATAGGATCTGTGTGAAATCTATCAGCCTAATCATAAAAAAATGTATTGGTTATAAAACATTGTTTGTTGACTGAATACTGCAACCTGCTGAGATCATTTTAGCTTTGTCTTTTCTTCATGGAGTAAATCAGGCTTTTAGGTTTCAAGAAATTGTGACATTGTTAATATATGTTCTGCCCTCAATAATACAGATCAATTAATAAACAGCATAATATGTATATTTTATGAGACTGACTGCTGCCTTGACACACCTACGCACATTACAATTGCATTAAAATACACTACAGTACTGCTTACAAACTTTTACTTAATAATTTTACAGTAACAGTACTTTTACTTTAGTTATTTTACAGTAAAAAGACAAAACTATTAAGAAACGAATGAATTGAGGGGCCGACCATTTAACTTTTGAGGGGGGAGGGGGTGATTTACTGCTGGCAGAGAGTTTTTTCTATCCCATCACCATGTATGATTTTTTTTCCACTCTCTTTCGCAGCATTTTTTTTCAATAGCTTATAATATTGGGTCATTCCAGAAAACATCCATACCACCCCCACAGAGGAAATAGGAAGTTAACCCCCCTACCCCCTTCGGATGTCCTAATACATTTACTGTTATCAGAAACAATTTTTTCTCCCCTCCGGACGGCAGAAATTTCCTCCGTGAGGGGAGTATAGATCTTTTGTTGAGTTTTCTAGCTTCATGCATTGCTTTTAATAATACATATTGCTATGAGATATACAGGGTGTATCAAAATAAACGCAATTCATCTTTTGTGCTTAATAACTTTCGAAATACTATTTCTAGTTAAACGCATTTAGGCTTACTTCAAAGCCTGTTCTTTTCTCTTTCAAACAAACTATTATCCTTGTCTCCAATGCTAGTAATGATTGCACAGGAAAAGATTTAGTAAAACCTATCATTTTTAGTTGCTGTTTAATTATGCAAGTCTACTATGGTATTGTTTAGTCGGTTTAAATGTTAGAATTTTCTTCTTTAAACTTTAATGTTGTCGTCACTACATCTGGAAAACCACGTAAGAACAAATTAAAAGTATTTTAAAAGAGACGAGGTTGTTTGAAAATCCCAAACGAACGCTAAAAATCATAGAATCAAAACATTCTGGTGTCTGAGCCAGAGTGTCATCGAATTGCGATGTAATGTAAACAGAAATTATAGCAAGCTGATGTCAGTCAGCTTAGATGGTCCAAGCCAAAATTATATCGCATTTGAAGTTTCAAACTGTGTTAAAAATAGTGGAAGAAAAGCCGTAATTATACTTATTGTTACAATCCATTTAATAAAATGCA